GTCTCTCTCTCTCTGCCCTGGGCCGGGCCGGGCCGGCGTCTCTCTCTCTCTCTGCCCGGGCCGGGCCGGCGTCTCTCTCTCTCTCTCTGCCCGGGCCGGGCCGGCGTCTCTCTCTCTCTCTGCCCCGGGCCGGGGTCTCTCTCTCTGTCAGCGTGTGGTGGCGGCCGGCCTGGGGCTGGGGTCACCCTGACGGAGGGGCACTGGGAGCTGCCTGCCTTCCCCCCAGCATGAGCCTTTGGCCGCCATTTTGTTCCCTCGCCCATCCTGCCCCCAGCCTCGACCGCATTTGAAAAGCGCGCGCTACACGTGGCCAACGGTCCTAACGTTCGCGGACTGCTGAGAACAGAATGCGCATGCGCCTTACGGGACTCTGGCCGCTTTCCAAGAGTAGCAGCCCACTTGCGTTATGCGCATGCGCCCGCTGATACGGTTTCCCCGCCTTCTCCCCTATGTTATGAGCATGCGCACCATTCTCTCGACGGCCTGATGATGCTATGCGCATGCGCGCGCTCCCTTGCTTCAGCCGCCTAGGTTTGCGTTCTGCACATGCGCGGCCGGAGGACCTTCACGGCCGGAGACCTCCCCCCTCCTTTCCGCTACCGCCCAGTTAATTGTTCTGCGCATGCGCCGACTCGGAAACGCTTCCTTTGCCGCAGTCCTGTCTTCCCTCTGCGCATGCGAGTCAATGGACCCTCCTTCCAGGGGGCGGGGCGAGGACGGGTACCCGGATGAACATGCCAGGCCCGGCGCGCATGCGCGGTGCGGGTCTCTCTGGCTCAGTGCGGCGGGGAACTGGCCTGGCGGGCGGCGCTGGGAGCTGGGTGGGGGGAGCAGGGAGGGGCCGGGCCTCGCCCCACCCCCCGCACGGGGCGGGCAGGGCAGGTGAGAGCGGCGGCGCGAGCCAGGGGTCAAAGGGCAGGGAGGGGGCAGTGCTCTGGCCAGAGGGGTCAAGGGGCGAGGAGGGGGCGGGGTTGTGGGTCGAAGGGAGGGGCGGGGCCGTGGGCAGAGGGGGTCAAAGGGCGTGGCTGTGGGTAGGGGGGGCGGGTCAAAGGGCGGGCCCATGGCCAGAGAGTGGGGGTGGGGGTCAAAGGGCGGCGAGCTCCTAGGGCTAGGGGTCAGCCCCTGTCCAGAGGGGCTGATTCTGCGGGGGGAGGGGTGTACACCCAGGTAAGGCCATGTCTACACTTACAGTCTTCCAGCAGCACAGCTGCACTGGGAGCGCGCGTGGGGCTGCGTTACGCCGGAGACGCGTGAGAGCTCGCCCGGCGACGTAATCAAAACAGCTGTACCTGTGTCGGGGCGAGAGTCTGCTGCTGCTGTAGCGCTGGGCACACAAGCGTTTGTGCTGACACAACTTACGTCGCTGGGGTGGAGGGGGTGTCTTTTCACACCCTTGAGTGACGTAAGTGCTAGTGTAGACGTGGCCTAACTGGGGTCGGGGGCAAATGTCAAGTGAGCCAAGCTGGACACAGGGAGCCTAAGTGGGGAGGGGGGCCCGGATATGGGGAGAGGATCCCGATTCATCCCCTTCTGCTTTTCCCGCCCCTCCCTGCTGCAGGTGGAGATGTCGGCCGAGGCCACGACGGCCCCGCTCCCAGCCCCCGAGGCCTGTGCCCCTGTGGTGCCCATGCAGCATCAGCCTACGGGGGGAGCGGTGGGTGTGACCTTTGACCTAAAGCCCTTGAATCCCAGCAGCAAGTATGTGAAGTTGAACGTGGGGGGATCCCTGCACTACACCACGGTGCAGACCCTCACCAAGCAGGACACCATGCTCAAGGCCATGTTCAGCGGGAGAATGGAAGTGCTCACTGACAGCGAAGGTACCTGCCCTGCTATCTGCAGCACCCCTGATGGGAGAGGCCGAGGCTGGAGTAGCCGGGAGCTCCCTCCATACCCAGGGCTCCAGCCCCCCTCTGCTGGGAGAGGCCCTACATCCTTTTATCTCTTCCCCTCTTCAGGCTGGATCCTGATCGACCGCAGCGGGCGTCACTTCGGCACCATCCTCAACTACCTGCGGGATGGCTCTGTCTCGCTCCCGGAGTCGCAGCGGGAGCTGGAGGAGGTGCTGTCCGAGGCACGGTACTACCTCATCCAGGGCCTGGTGGAGGACTGCCAGCTCGCTCTGCAGGTAGGGACCCAGTGGGGGTGGGGTCACTGAGGGCTCTGGGATTCTCCTGCTGTGGGCGTAGGGATACCTGGGGGCAAGGCTATGCCATGGGGATGGGGTCACTAAGGGAGTCATGGGTCACAGGAGGCTGCAGTGACCTTGCTGATCTCTTCGTCCTAGCAAAAGAGCGATGCCTATGATCCTCTGTGTCTCATTCCCATGGTGACATCCCCCAAGGAGGAGCAGCAGATCATCTCCAGCTGCTCCAAGGTGAGATAGGCGGGCAGGGCCTCCCTTATTGGTCTTTCCAGCCCCCCCAGGATCACCCTCTGTGCTGACACCTCCCAGCCTTCTCCCTCCCCTTTGGCACGAAGTTACGCTGAGCGACTTGTATGAATCCAGCCTCATTTCCTGTCTCTCGTTTTTTTCCAGCCAGTGGTGAAATTGTTGCATAACAGAAGTAACAACAAGTATTCGTATACCAGGTAATCCAACGCTCCTGACCTGCTCCCTGCAGCACCCCCTGCTGGGAGAGGCTGGGGCTGGAGTAGAAGTGAGTTCCCCCCAGCCCGTGCCCCTCCCCCTCCTCACAGCACCCCCTGCTGGGAGAGGCCGGGTCTGGAGTTGTTGGGAGCTCCCCCTAGCCCGTGCCCCTCCCCCTCCTCACAGCACCCCCTGCTGGGAGGGGCCGGGGCTGAAGTAGCCAGGAGCTCCCCTAGAGCCAGTGCTCCTGCCCCATTGCCCAGACCACCCCCTGCTGGGCTGGAGGACCTGGGAGCCCTCCCCACCCACGAGGTCTCTTCTCTGCAGTAACTCGGATGATAACCTGCTGAAGAACATTGAGCTGTTTGACAAGCTGGCGCTGCGCTTCAACGGGCGGGTCCTCTTCATCAAGGACGTGCTGGGGGACGAGATCTGCTGCTGGTCCTTCTATGGGCAGGGCCGCAAAATTGCCGAGGTCTGCTGCACCTCCATCGTCTACGCCACCGAGAAGAAACAGACCAAGGTACCCCTGGGCCCTCGCACTTAATACGTTCCATGAGAAAATTGCCCCGCAGCACATTGGTCTATTCCAAGGATATACGTGAATCTCTCTTATAATGTTAGCACATGGTATGTTCCGAGGCAGTGTGGGTGGCCCCCCTCTCTCTGCTGTCACATGGACTCTTGGTATGATCCAGTACCCCTTGTCACCTTCATATTTGGTATGATCCGATGCCATCAGAGCAGTCCCCTCTTCTCCAGTCACATGCGCTCTTGATATGGTCCAACACCATGTGGGTACCCCCCCTGCATCATACTCTCACTTGGTATGGTCCTAGGCCATGTCCAATGCCACCAGCTGGTTCCCCCCATCTGTGGTTTTTCTTGGTATTTTCCATGGGTAGTCCATTATACTAGGTATTACTAGGTATATTCCAAGACAACATGTGACTTTTCTCTCCCCCTCCCCACCTCCGTGCTTGGTAGCTTCCAAGGCCACATGGGCACTTGCTGGTGGGATTCTTTGAGGCTGTGGGGGGAGTGGCTTGTAACCAGCCTGACCTCTGACCCCCACAGGTGGAGTTCCCCGAGGCCCGGATCTTCGAGGAGACCCTGAACATTCTGATCTACGAGACCCCGCGGGTCCCCGACAAGGCGCTCCTGGAAGCGACGGGCGGGGCAGCCGGAGGAGGGGGAGGCCCCCACCGGGCTGACGAGGAGGATGGGCGGGAGCACCGCGTCCGGCGCATCCATGTCCGGCGCCACATCATGCACGACGAGCGTCCCCACGGCCACCAAGCCGTCTTCAAGGACTGAGCCCCACGGCCCCGTCCAGGTGCCAAACGGCGGGGGTGGGGCACCCTGCCTCTCTGCCACACCCCTGCTGCCTCTCTGACCTTGACCCCTCTCCACTCTTTGGGATCTCTCTGCCTTGTGGCCTCTGACCCCTTTCTTCTCAGATTTGACTCCCCTGCAGTAGAAACCTGGGTAACGCCCTGGACTGCGCAGGGGAGAGGGACATGGGAGGGGGCTCCTCGGAGACCCCTCCTGCTTCTTAATTAATTACCTAGGCACCAACACCCATGTTTAACGAGCCTAATTCCTTTGCTTTTGTGGGTGTGTGGAATACCTGGTCTGTCCCCCATCCTGCTCCATCCTGGATAGATACCCGTGCCACAGCTGTAGCTCTAACCCGGCCCGGCACTGCAGGTCAGGCCGGGATCAGTCACCCACTGCCCGCCGGGGGCGGGAGACAGCAGGGAGGCCAGTGCTGGCTTATTGTGTGGTTGGGGGGGTGGTTGAGTGGGGAGCTGCCAGCCCAGCCTTGCCCAGCAGGGGGCGCTGTGGGGTGGGGGGAGCTCCTGGCTACTCTAGCCCAGCCTTGCCAAGCAGGGGGTGCTGTGGGGAGTTCTGGCAGTGAGAGTTTTGCTGCCTGTCCCACCCTCCCTTGCTTCTGGGGGTGAGGGAGTGACCCCCACTTACCAGCCTCGATACTCTCCTTTCCTTGTCAAACTCATGGTATGTTCCAACCCACCAGACTTCACACCTCTTTTCTACACATGACATGGCCCAACCCTAACCTTCCTACTCTGCTCCCCACGTAATACATGGTACAACCCCGCTACTGTCCTTACCACATACATGAAATTTACCTTTTCCCCCCAAAAATACAGGATGCTTCTTACCTGCATTGGCTAAAAGACATGGTACACGCCAACCTACTGGGCCCCTCCCTTTCCCCACAAAATACAATGGAATGCACCACTCTGCTCCTCTGCCCCATGCCAAATACAGTGGAATGCTCCATTCCCCTTCTAGCCTCCCAATAAAATGGGAGCTACCGATCCCCCGCAATAACATTTTGCTCAATCACCCAATATAAATTGGTACCTTCCAATCTCCTCCCCCTACCAACTACAATGGGATATTCCAACCTGCCTCCAAATAATACAATGGGGTGTTCCAAGCCCCACCCCTCAAAATAAAATGGGACATTCCAACTTCCTTGTTAAAGATGTTCCAGTCCCCTTCCCTTACAAAATACAGTGGGATGCTCCAACCCCCCTCCCAAATAAATTGGGATGTTCCAAAGCCCACAGAAAATACAATGGGGCAAATGGGGAGAGGCTGGGGGCCCCATCCTCCCCCCCCCCACCCCGCATACCGCCGCCCTCCCTACCTGTTATTGTCATGTTTGTATAATTTATTTTAACGGGGTTTTTGCTTTTCTATTAAATTATTGTAATAAAGATTCCTGGGAAACATTGTCTCCTGGCCCAGTCCTGCCACCACCACTTGGGGGGCCCTAGGGCCGGGTGAGAACTAGCGCCCCCTAGAGGGGAGAGGCCCCAGATCCCATCCCCCGCTCCCCTGCACCAGTCCTTGCCCTGGGGCGGGCTGGGAACCGGCGCCCCCTAGAGGGGAGAGATCCTGTATCCCATCCCCCTGCACCAGTCCATGCCCTGGGGCCGGGTGGGAACCGACGCCCCCTAGAGGGGAAAGGCCCCAAGTCCCATCCCCCAGGCCAGTCCCAGCGCTGAACCAGCCCCCCTTGGGCCCATCCTGGGCTCCATCTCTGGGTGATGGGGCCCTGACCTCTCGGGGGGCAGGCGGGGGTCTGGGCAGTGCCTGGCCCCAGACACAGCCGTGCTAAGTGCTGACACCGCAGGTGCTGAATGTTTTAATGAAGGGCTGGGGGCTTTGCAGAGAGTTCGGGTCCAAACAACACAGGGCCAAGGAAGCCATACACAGCGGGGCGGGAGACTTCGGGGCCCTGGGGCTGGATGGGAGCCGGTGCCCCCCAGAGGAAGTTCAGTGGGGCTGGCTCCAGCATGGTCTGTCCGTCCTGGGCACCGACCCGTCACCAGCGCCACAGGCTGGCCCAGCTCCTAGGGGCCAGGGGCAAAGATGTAATCCAGGGCCTGGCGCTCGGCCCCGGCCACGTTGGGGTGCCACAGATCCACGATGAACAGCACAAGGGGCCCATCCTCGGGGGGACCTGGGAAAGATGCTGGGCTCAGAGGTGCCCCTCACTCCCGACCCGCGGCCCCTGCTAGCCCAGCCCTGCCCCCGCCCAGCTCTGCCGGTGCCCCTCACTCCCGACCCGCGGCCCCTGCCAGCCCAGCCCTGGACTCCCCCCAGCCCTGGGCCCCCCAGCTGTGCTGGTGCCCCTCACCATTATGCGCGGTCGTGTGCAGGAAGGAGTCGTCCAGCAGGAGGCAGTGTCCCTCGGACCAGCACTGGGGCTCGCCCCCCACCACCAGCTCACAGCCTGGGGGCACCGTCAGCCCTGCAGTGGGAACAGGTTGATTGGAGGGGAAAGGCCCCGGGTCAGTTCCACACCCCCTGAGCCAGCCAGGCGCCACCTTGGGGCTGGATCAGAGCCAGTGCCCCCTGCAGGGGAAGGGCCCCGCACTCCGTTCCCCGCACCCAGGTGCCCCCTGGAGGGGATGGGCCCCGCGCCCCGTTCCCGTACCCAGGTGGCAACGCAGGCGGACGTTGGTGGGCCCGTAGCGCCCGGGCAGGATGGTGCCTGGCTGCAGGACGCTGAAGCAGGCGTTGCCGAAGCGGTTGGCGCTGACGAAGGTGCGCAGGGCGGCCAGGGTGCGGTAGGTGCGGGGGCAGGCCCGGCAGTGCTGCGGCTGACACATGCCCCGGCGGTAGAGGTAGAAGCGCTGGCAGGGGCCGGGCGTCCAGCCTCGGGCGGCGCCCCCGGCCACGCCCTGGTACTCCCGCAGGATGGCGGGGCAGGCGCGCTCCAGCAGCTCGGCGTCGTGCCGCTGGGCATCCCGCGGGAAGCAGGGGGCCGAGGGCAGCTCAGGCAGGTGGAAGACGACGGGGGCTCTGGATGGCCGGGCGCCCGGGTCGCAGCTCCTCCCGCAGGGCCTTGCGCACCCGTCCCATGCCCGCCCACGAGTACCGCTGGGCATAGGCCCGCAGGCTCCGGTGCAGCCGCCCGGCCCCCGGGGGCAGGCTCGGGGCTGGGCGCCCCCCGCCGGCGGCGGCCCCGCCGGCACCCGCTCGCTGCCCACCCGGTAGCAGTACCAGACGAAGAGCAGGGCCAGCCAGGCCAGCAGCGCCAGTGCCGGCTCGGGGCCGGGGCGCCAAGGGGGGGCGGCCGGCAGCAGGGTGGAGAAAAAACCCGTCCAGTGCCCCGGGGCACGCCATCGCCCCTGGCCCCCTCGCTGCCCCCCCTGCCCCCTCCTCAGTGCCCCTGCCCCTCCCCCTTCCTCCGTGCCCCCTCCTCTGCCCCTCCCCTTCCTCCGTGCCCCCTGCCCCTCCCCCCTCCTCAGTGC